TTCTGGATCTCTTGGGAGGCCTCTCCTCTGTACGGGCAGAGCGCCTTGCCCACCTCCTCACAGGCAGCAGCTGCCTGGTGTCTCGGGCTCTGCTGGAGGCCAGCTGCGTGGCTGGCCAGGGACTGGGAAGAACTTCTTGCCTCTTCCTTGGAACCTGGTTGAGTGAGGAGGAGGATGAGGACGTGGCCAGCCAGACCAGGCTTAGGCACAGGCCCCGCTCTGTGAGCTCCATGTTCGTTGTGGCCACCTGCCTGCTACCAGACCCAGAGCTCCTGAGGACGAGCGGCAGGCAGGAGACCGGCAGGGTTACCAACGTGCGCCCAAGCCCTTCCCAGACTTCCCAGTCGCCCCCCATTCCCAGAGGGTTCCCCTCCACGGGCCTATCCACATTAGCACCTGCGTAGCCCGGCTCTTCTTACTGGATGGGGACGAATAAATGGCAGAGCCTGGACGCCTGCGTATTAGCTGTTGCTTAAGTTGGATTCACACGACCGGCTACGTGGGCGAGGCAACCTGAACGTTAGCGTTTCCTGATGTTTCTGTTTTTAAGTGGAGCCCCAGGATGTCACTTGAACACAGGTTTAGCTCTTTTGTCGTAAAGGATTTGGGATTGCCGGCGGCTTGGCTGACAGTAGTATCAGTCTGTACTGACGCCTAGGACAGGAGGACACCGAGGTACGAGGCGTCTCCTACCTGGAGCTTCCTGTGTCCCTGGTCATCTGCGGGGGAGCTGCAGGGCTGCGGGAGGGCCGGGGGCATCACCTTCCAGGAGCGCCTGCCTCGTGTGCCGTCACTCTTGAAATAGGTTTGATTTTGAAGGAGAGAGATGGCCAAGCCTGGTCTCAGGTGCAGCCCCTGACCTAGTACCTGGTCCCTAGTGGGTGTGCCACGCTCGGCCGCCGTCTGACCGGGGGCTGCGTGTGGGAGCCGAGGCCGTGGCTGTGGCTGTGCACCGTGCAGCTCTGTCAGGCCACCTGCCGAGTAGAGGATCGGGCTGGCCAAGGGCCGTGTCTCAGAGGCTGCACCTCACCCCGAGTTGTTAGTTTCCACCATGAGTGAGATGAGAGGCACACGGGGGTGTATTTACCCAATGCAAATCGATACCTTGACCCGGACTTATGTTTTTCATCTTTTACAATCATATTGGCCTAAGGCTTCTGGAGCGAGTCAGTTTCCTTACCAGAGGGCGCCGCACGCCGGCTGGGTGGGAAGCGCATGCTTAGGGCTCTCCGAGTCGGAAAAGTGCCCTGGCTCGTGTCCTGGTGCATACGACCGCTCTGGGAGGCCATCCCAAGGTGAGAGGCCAGCTTTTTCGTTGGCAGCGGAAGGACAGATAGACTCCCGTCAGCCGCCGGTGCTCAGGACGTGGGCAGAGTGTAAGCGGGGCTCCATGTGGGCTTTGGCACCTGGGTCAGGACGTCCATGCAGTCCCTGTTTAAAACCGCTTTGTAAGTCAGCATTCGAATCTCACTGACCTACACGTTCTTTTCTTTTCTCTTTTCTTTTTCTTTTTCTTCTTTTTTTCTTTCTTTTTCTTCTTTTTTTTGAAGAGCCAATCTGCTCTTCTCCCAGGGCCCACTTTATTCTCCTTCCTCCTCTAGAATCCTTCAAGCACACTCCTTTTTATGGGGCTACAGGTCCTGGTGAAATTTGAGGCTCCCGGAGCTGGGGTCAGAAGCTAGGGCCCCTCAAGCTTGGCTTCCCTGGTGCTTTGTCGTGTCTAGGACAGCGTTGGTGCATTGCTAGTGGGTTGGACAAGGAGTCCTTCACTGTGGAGACTCTATCTGTGCCCGGATACCATTCCGCCTCTGTGAAATTGGGCTGTGGAACAGCTCTGAGATTTCCTTTCTTGGCAGAACTCAGGAACTGACCAGAACCACTTATGCCTCTTGGATCCCTGGAGCCAGCCAAGTGGGAGCTGGTTCCGAGAGCCATCCTGTCTAAGCTCGTGTCTCTGGGAGGATCTAAGCTGCACCCAAAGTCTCTCTGAAGTTCAAGGCGTAGCAAAGGTGATAGGGGCCTCAACGATGCATAGCAAAGCCTTGTTTCCTGGGGTGGACGGGGGCTTTGACCCAGAAAGGAGAGCCAGAGTTCTGTTACCCCGCCTAAATATTCTGCCTTTGTAAGAGTTAAAAAGTTTGGGGAGTTTTCAGTGTTGCGCTTCCAAAGTTTTGTGACTATGTTGAATAGATGACTCAGAACTCACTTGGCTCCCACTTTTGACATCAGCCGTGTTATTTTCACCATCATCCATCTGGCTGCTCCCGGCTGCAGAGCTCCTCATGCCTGTGCGCTTTCTCCGAGAGCCTCAGGGGACTTCAGGTCTCCGCCGTCTTTGTATGCCCAGGACTCGGGGCATATCTGATGTGCGGCAGGTGCTGTGGAAATTCTCGTAATGAATAAAGGCACAGGTTGTGTTCGAATTCCTGTACTTGATACAACTCTCTGGGAATACGGATGCTCTTTATTGACAGGGTAACGGCGACAGTGATGCAAATGTGATTCTGTTACCTGGGGGAGGGGAGGCCACACTGTAAAGCGCCCGTGACATTGCTCCTTCGTGATTTCCTTCCGCTCCTCTGGCATGGCTGGGTGAAGACAGGTATGTCCTCTGAGGACCTCTTTTTCTCCCCGTATGCTGTCGTCGGCGTTTCCGGGGTTCTCCCTGTGGTCTCACTCTGCACGTTCTTCCTGGGGCTGCTTCCCGGCAGACCCACCTTCCCATGTAGACTTTCCTGGACAGCCTGATGCCTGAGTGTCTCCCATTAGATGCACACATGTCCCGGGCTCAGAACCGCCAAAGCCAGAACCGCTAAGCTCATGAGTTCCACTCCAGCTCTTCCCATTAATCATCTGCCCCGTCACCAAGGTATAAAAACAGGTCCTCTGCCTTGACGCCTCCTTTCCGTGTCTTCTTCTATGAAACGGGCAGTAAAGAGGACACCCGGAGGGTCTACCTGCCCCCATTTCTGCATTCACTTCATTTCTTTGCTTTTTTATGCTGAGTTCATTTGGTTCTTTTCACCTCATACCTGCAGTGTGGCTGTGACTTTCTGACTTGTTTTTCTCCCAAGGTCATGCCCTTTATTAATAGATGCCTCTGACACAGGCCACCTTCCCTCCCTTCATGGCCACCGCCACGTTCAACGCATTTCCAGAAGGTGCTGGGCTCTTCCTGTGATTTGCCTTCACTGAGTGGCCTAGCTCCTGCCTCCTGCTCCTGGAATCCTCTCTCCCCACGGCCCACCGGTCATTGTTAGCCTTAAGGACAAATGGATACCTCCAAGATTTAAAGACTTTGCTCAAAATGCTTCCTTTGCTATTAAGTCTTTTAAGGTCCTTTGCAGGAGTAACTTCCTTCCTGACGGTCCCTACTGCATGGACTTTTCCTATATCATATCGGACACTTCTCCTCCTCCAAGACTAGAACCTCACCTTGAGAGCAATAACCATGTCTCACTCATTTTTTGTATCCCTAGCGCTATGCCTAGAAAACAGCTGGCTTTTTTGCTCAAAAAGTGAATGTCAAATTGAAAAAAGTTTGTGCCAAGTACAGTAGGAACATGGGGTGTTTTCTTTTGTGGATCCTGTTGGCCGGTCTCCCTTATGCACAGGTCCACACAGCAGGCTAAGGAAATGGTTGTGACGGAGGCACAGTGGTAGATTGATTTTGGCTCAGGAACTAATCTTGCTTCCCATGCGGTCGGCCTGGTGGGGACCAGGACTGCCTCTGTAGTGTTTGGGGCCTAGGAAAGGTAAACCCAAGTATTCCCTCCTATCACTGCTATCTGAAGTTTTCCCAGGGATGTCTCATGCATCTGTGATCAGCACTGCCTTATCCAAGCTAACTTACTCCAACCACAAGTGTGACTTGGACTCTCCGGTCCTTTTCTGGGTAGGGTGAGAGGGTTTTGGAAGAGGCAAAAGGAAGAAGAAATTAGAGCTCCAGAATTCTGTAGATCATTCATATATTTTCGTTAAGTCTTCTCTTGTCTTAGAATCAAGTGTCTGTGTTGTGGTTGGTTATATCAGCAATGATCATGGACCAACATTCCTAAATGTGGGTTTCACCAACTTCCTAGGGCTTCCATAGCTTCTAAAGGTCTCCTAGAGACCAGTGTCCTGGCCCCCACCATGTTTGATTAACCTCTATCTCCGTTGGGTCAGCCTAGATCAACTTGGACAGGTTCAAGATCAATGACGACTTCTTGTAACTAAGGGGATCAGAAACCATCTGGTTTCAGCTGGTTGATAAAGAGTTAGAATATAAATAAAGAGTTAGAATGTAAACCTACATTATATTATGATACAGGCTAGTCTTTCCATCTTTCTTGAATTTGTTAATTTGAGAGCCACTGGAAAGAACTGGGCTTGGCAGGTGTGTATGGTTGTAGGTGGCGGGGAGTTGGGGGGGTGGGGACAGAAGCTCTACTTGCCTTTGATCTTACTTCTTAACCTTTACTCTGGAAGCTAAAGGTTTGCTATTCCTCATGGGACTTTCAGTTTAGGATAAAATTGTGGCTGATGTCAGAAAATGAAAAGTTAAACTTTCAAATGACCAAGTTGTGGGTTGTATTAAGAGCCCATGCTGTTGCATCCCTGGGTGTCCAAGATTTCCTTGATTTTTACCTAAAATAGGGAAGTACTGACAATGGTCATTGCCATTTGAGTCTTGGTCCAAATAAAGCCTTGACGATCAGAGCTTAGTGAAGTATAGTTTGCACAGCAACAGGCACAGTCACAAGGTATTGAAGTCACAGTCTTGACTGGTCCCTGGTTGCCTTTGAGAGCGGCAGGAGACGTGACTTGTTAGCGGGAGTCGGGGTCTGTTGAAGGAGATCCTTCTTGTGGCCATAAGGACTGTGCCTGCGCACTGCCTCCATGCCATTTCATGCTGTCTTTACCTCCCTCTCTTTATCCGAACCCTTAAACCAGTCATCGTGATTCTTGGCAAAGGGCCAAACTCACTTTTATGTGTGTTCTTGTTACTTTTTATGCAGATTTCAGCAACGTCCCTGATGTCACCACTGGCCTGAAAAGGAGTCAGACTGATGGCGCGCTGGCCCAGGTCCCCCACGGGGAGAAAACAGGGCAGACATTCGGGGTAAGATGCTGTCCCAAATCCAAAAGAAGGAATGGGCTGACAAAGCATGAATCCCCCCCGCTGCACCCGAAGTGGGGAAAAGAGATGGGGTTATCCAGTCCCTGGGTCTGTCCGCTGAAACAGACATTTTTTTTTCCCCTTAATGGAAGTAGTTTCCTTATTTATTTGAAGCGAACTGTGTTAGGAGAGTTTGACGAGGACAGTCTATGCTCAGGGATTCTGAAAGTTATGTTCAATGACTCTGTTGCTTTCTTTGTTTTTTTTTCTTTTCTCATAGATAAATTATTTTTGGAATGTTGTCACTTTGTTGTGGTAAAAATATCTAAAACATAAAATTTGGTATTTTTACTATTTTTAAAGGCACATCGCAGTGCCGTCAAGGACATTCACAATACCGTGCGACCATCGCCACTGACCCATGTCAGAACTTTCTTTTCATGCCAAGCAGAAACTCTGTACCCGTTAGATGGTATCTGTCCATTCACAGCCCCTCACCCACCCCCCGGCTCGCCTGTTTCACATCCCTCATGGGTGGTCCTGGTGATATTTGTCCTTTTGTCCTGGCTTATTTCGCATGGCGTAAGGTTTTCAGAGTTCATCACGTTGAAGCGTGTGTCAGGACTTCCCTTCTTTGGAAGGCTGGATACTGTCCTGTTGTGTGTGCTGCGTTTTGCTTACCCGTTCGTCTGCTGACGGGCACTGTTTCCACGTTGGCCTGTTTTGAGTAATGCTGCAGTGGAGACGGGCATGCAAATATCTGCGTGCATCTTTGTTTTCAGTTCTGTTGGAGACGCATCTGGGACTGGAACTGCTAGGTCACGTGGCCGTTCTATGTGTAGCTTTTTCCCTGTGTCCCACAGGGCTTGCACCATCATCCACTCCCATCAGTGGTGGGTGAGGGTCCTGATTCCTCCGTGTCCTCGCCAGCTCTTGTGGTAGTCCGTGCCTTGCCTGCATTTTTAATTGTTCATCGAACATCCTTTCAAAAATGGTCTGACCCACCTGACCTGTTTTAATACACAGTCCAGTTTTAATTGATTTTGACATTATAACTATTTTCAATTCCTTGCTTTTGTCTTAAATACAAGAATGGAGATATATAAGGCAGCTTACAGGGGTGCCTGGGTGGCTCATTCGGTTGAGCATCTGCCTTTGGCTCAAGTCACAATCCCAGGGTCCTGGGGTTGAGCCTTGAATGGGAGGGTCCCCTGCTCAGTGGGGAGTCTGCGTCTACATCTGCCTCTGCAGCTCCCCCTGCTTGTGGTCTCTCTGTCAAATAAATAAAATCTTAAAAAAAAAAAAAAAAGATAGCTTATAGTCTGCTGGGTTAGAGTCTACCACCAGAGGCCAGTCGCTTTGGGGAGCAGCCGTGTGGCACAGCCCTGGGTAATGGTCCCGGTGAGACGGGGATCGGGTTGGAGCCTGCCCACGGCGGAGCAGGTTGTGGTGGCCCCTGACCTCTTCCCTCCTCTTCCTCACCCCTCCCTGCGTTGCTCCCCCATTCCTGATCCACCTCCTCCACAGTCTCACCTCTCATCTTTCTGATTCCTCAGATGAAACACTTGGTCTGGCTGTGCCCCAGGATGCAGCATCTTTTACAGAACTGAAATTGTCCACAGTTTTAGCCTTGTGCCTCTGTTTGATCTCTGGGGGATTAGTTATTTTTAGGACCCCAATATCATAGCTGATAGTGATTATTATTTTTTTAAGAAATGTGTCCTAGAGCATCATCTGGATGTGTTTTGATTGCTTTGTCTTAAATTTTTTGAAAAAAGGTAACTGTTTCTGACCCACTTTAGAAGCTTGGCTGTCTGTTTAAGGTCAGCATGTCCGAGGGGCTCTGGCACGGTGTGGGTGCTCAGGGGAGATCACTTAAAGCCACTAGGGGTGATGAGCTCCTCTCCATTGTAATCCGTTTGAGTTCCACTTTAAATTTCTTAAGGAGGAAAGGAAATTCTTTTTCCAGGTTTTATTTTAACGTTCAATAAAATAAATAGGCAAAAAGTTACCGTGTTGAGGCTATTCTCAACTCTGTCATTTAACAATGCCTGTCATAATGACACAAAGCATTTACCAAATGCACGTTGGAGCATCAGTTAGAAACTGAAGAAAGGAGGAAAGGTTGCAGTTGGGCTTGAAATTGGAGCTGACTGAGCTTACTTTTCATTGCTAAAACGCTTAGAGGAAAAAGCAAATACTGAAGAGGGGCCCTTGGGTGGTTGCAGTCAGGTAAGTAGTGACTCTTGATTTTGGCTCAGGCCGTGATCTCAGGGCTGTGAGATGATCAAACCCCACATCGGGCTCTGTGCTGGGTGTGGGGTCTGCTTGCGAGTCTCTCTCCTTCTCCCCCACTGCCCGCTCATGTGTGCTCACTCTCTCTCAAATAAATTTTTCAAAAAAGATAAATACCGAAGAACACAGAAGACAGAAATATTGAAAGAGAATATCATCATGGTGAGCATTGCTGTCAATCCCTCTTAAGTCCAGAGTGGTCATCATCCTTTTCCAAACCTGAAGGTCGTAATAGGTCATAATAACAGACTTCAGGGCATTTCTCAACAATTCCAGTGTAATGCCTGGAAGTTACTTAGTTCACACATTCTTTGTTCCTTGGGAAAGAAGAATCAGAAGTAATTACTTCTGACCATCAGAAGTAATAATTGGTATGTATGTTATTAAAAACAGAGTTTTGAATTTAAGAATTAAAAGACAGGCACCTAGGTGGCTCAGTTGGTTAAGCATCTGACTCTTGATTTCGGCTTAGGTCGTGATCTCAGGGTTGTGAGATGGGGCCCCACGTTGGGCTGTGCACTGAGCGTGGAGCCTGCTTGAGATATTCTCTCCACCGCCGCCCCCCGCTTCATGCTTGTTCACTCTTTGGCTCTTAAAACAAAAACAAAAACATTTTGCTTTGTACTATTATTTTCAGCCGCCTGAAAACATCGGGGTGTACCTAAAAGCAATCCTTTTCCGTTTTCCGGTGGTGGTTTGGGAGTTGGACGACGCGTGTCCCAGTGCTGGGCATGGATCTTTCGCGCTCAGCCTGGGCGCTGCCCCATGGTGCCCATGGGAGGTGGTCGCTGCTCCGGAGGGAAGACCCGCCTCTGTCTCCCGGGCTTTCCACTCTGGCACATCTGGCCTTCTCAGGGGTCATTAACTTCTTTTCAGATTAGACCCCGGTTGAACCTGAGTTGTTTGGGATATTTTACTAATAATATTCTAGACTTTGAAATAAGGAATAATTTCCCTTGAAAATCAAATGCAGCCTGGCTTGATGAAGCACAGCTGTATAAGTGGGGCTTTTGACAGCCCCGCAATTTCTGCAAATGGCTCATAATTGATTGCCTTCTTGCTCCTCAAGGGTGCCTATTACTGTCACAGCTCTTTGTATGCCCCTGTCAACCTCTCCTGTGTGCGGGCTCTTTCCTCCCCCCCAGTTTTGTTAGCAATTAGCTGGCACTATTGTAACAGTTCAGATTTTGAAAGGAATAAACAGTTTCTCTTTGGTTGAGGGGGCTGAAGGAGTTTCTGGGTTGTTCTGGGATCTTGAGGTGGGCTGAGCAGGCTCTGCAGAAATTCGGTTTGCACTCCACTTTCTGGTCTCCGAGCTGGCTCTGAAGCTGGGGCACTCTGTGGCTTTGTCGTCCCTGTGCGTGCCCTGACCTGGTGTCTCCCCAGAGCCAGCAGGCTCGGCATGGGGTGGAAATCCAGAGGAAGGGGGTGCGTTTCCCCCACCCACCGGCGCTGCCTCGGAGGAAGAGCTTGGTGGCGCTAGGACGTCCTCGCGAATGTGACTTGGAACACCAGTTTGGGATTTTTTTCGTTGCCTGGGGATGAGAGCGAGAGAGTGTGCATCCTACTCGTTTCCCAACAGCCGGCCGTAGATGTAATCCTTTCTCCCAGAGGGAGCAGGTTCCTTTGAACTTTTCCTTTCTATGTACAGCACGTAAGTAAGCGGGGGCTTTGATCTCAGGGGTGCGGATTCTGGTCCAAACGTAGGCATGCTTGCGTGGTTTCCTTTTTCTCTGTCTTGAAAGTTGATTTGGCTCTGAAATGTCTATAGGTTGTTATGCATACGGGAAGATATGCCTTCTTTCCAGGAGGGAATCCTGACTGTAATCTCTAAACACTCTCTATAGCTAAGGATGCGAGAATTTCTTTTGGATTCTAGTTTCTCTGTAGCACTGTCTACTTTTCCTTTCTCCTTCCTACGTTGCAAGGGTTTTTCAGTGGTTCTCTGCAATAGTTTTGTCCTTTTGAAATATATCAGAAAGCCCGGAAATTTCAGATATTTACTCTGTAAAATCCACTTGAAAAGAGGGGTTAATTTGAAGGCAGTAAATAATTTTCTGCTTTGTGCCATTTCATTGGAGCATAGCACATGCTAGTATCAGACTTCATGCTGTCAAAGAAAATCCCCCAAAGTGAAACCGTTTTCTGTGAGGTAAGCTGAGTTTTTACTTTAGTTATTCCTGATTAAGTGTTTTTTCAGCTTTTTTTAGGAGAATTTTATGTAACACCGAGCGTAGCTTTAGCTGTGATTATTTTTACAGTTTGTAGGCGTTGTGTTGCTAGAACAGAGAGCATGGGGATCTGGAGATACACAGCATGACGACTGTGTGTTGTGCTCTTTGCAATTTAGTAACGCTTAAGATCTATTTTGCCCTTTCATTTGTGCAAGGTGGAAAAAAGGGACATGCACCAATGGTTAGGTTTTAGAATACAGCATGAACATAACTTGCATTTAATATTTAATGCCTGTTCACCCACTTATCTTAACATTTTGAGTTTTTTACATGAATTCCTTTTAAGAGCTTGCATTATCTAAGAAGCGAAAGGAAGAGATTCTTGGACGTATGATCTGTTTTCCAGTACACTCACGTTGTCCATCTTTCTACCTTATCTTTAAATCTCCTGCATTGTTTCAAGATCTGTTTGGTCGTAAGTTACTCTGGCTAGAAAGTGAAATTAAAATAGAATTTCTTTATAAAGACCATGTA